TGTTGTTTGGCAGGCCCGGGCCGGGTTCAAACCCACCAGCTCTGGTGTATGTGGCTGGCACCCTAGCAGCTAAGCTATAGGCACCGAGCCAAAAATCTTGGTATTCTTCCAGTTTACAGACCCCTATACTGTTATGAATCCATTTGAGAGCTGACTTCAAAATGCAAATTAGTCTACAAGTATCCAGATTACAAGTGTGAAAGCCAGCGGCACATACTGAGGGGTTGGTCTTTTCCACTGTGTTCTTCTAGATTCATGGTTTACGTAGTAGGTCCTTCCAAGGACATCCTGCCTCTCTTCCCATCCCGGAGGTAGAGGAGAAGGTTCTTGCTGCTGCTGCAAATGGCAGGCAGCATCTGGTTGGTCCAAAACAACCCAGCCAGGCTGAAAAACAGAACAGTAACAATGAAACTTATTTTTGATTTTTTAAAAAAACTCATAAATTATATATGAAAGGGAATTTTAAAGATTTCTTATATGCATTTCTAGAAATTATGCATAGACAGAATTAAAACATCATTAACTTTTTAGACCATAATAATACATTTTATGATACTAAAGGTGGTTTTGCAAAATAACCATTTAAATTTTGTTTGATATTGTTTTTACATTTTCCAAAACATACTCTGGTTTCTCTTCAGATCGCATAAATCTTTTGCCTTTTACATTTTCCAAAACAGTTTTAAAATCAATTTACTTTAAATTTTCACAAAAATATAAGTATTGTGAGGTGATGGATTTAATTAGCTTTACTGAATCATTCCACATTGTAAACATGTATCAAACATCACACCAGACCCCATGAATATTCAGATACAATTAATATTTGGCAATTAAAAATAAAGCTGAAAAAACATAACTAATAGAAAAAAAGGACAAAAAATCCCTTATATAAGCAAGAATGTGAAGTTGGAAAGCACTGAGGAATAGAGAAGCCTAGTTTCAAGTACTAGTGTAATTTGAGCTATTTTCTAAATTATTAGTAACTCAGGGAAGGACAGGGATGGTGTCACTACCCATCGTCTTCTCACAGAGAAAGCACCTGGCTTATGGTAGAAATCGATAACTATCTGAGACATGAAAAAAAATCATTAGATAAAGGTCACATACCTAGAGGCATGACAGGGAAGGGCAAATGATTCAGAAGAAAATTGCTACAGTGAACTCTCTCTCTGGTGATTGAAAAATCATTATGATTGTCTTGTTTGATTTTTCTCTTTCTGCTCTGGATCAAGTCATAAAATAGCCAAAGAAAGATTTTTTTTTAAAATGCACCAAAAGTTTGATTCCTCTGAGACTAGAAAGGGGCAAAATAAACACAAACCTTAGGGTATTTTAAGTAGGGAATTAACTGAAAAGGATAGCGAGAATTAATGCTGTTACACGAGAAACCCCTTAACAGAAAAGATAGTGGGTAAAAGATTCTTCTAAATAGCAATATGGTTAGGAAAGCATTAGAAACGGAAATAAACTGGTGAAGGAATTTTAAAATGTTCCTAAAGGGACACAAAGGAAGACCCAAATAAATGGAAAACGTAACATGATCTTGGCTAGGAAGGCTCAATCTCACAAAGGTATCAATTCTTCCCAAGTTAATTTATACATTTGCCAAGATTCCATTCAAACTACTTTATGGATTTTTAAAAAATAAAGAAACAAGCCAATTCTCAAGTTCAAACAGAGACACATGCAAGGAAGAATAACTAGTTTAATTCTAAAAAAGAGCAAGGAATAAAGATAAGCCCTACCCAATAAAACATACTACGAACGACCATAATTACTGTGTGGCATTGCTGCACGTATAGAGACAGCTCAACAGATCATAAAGCCCCCACTCAAGACTCAATTTATAGCAATTTATAATAGAGACAGTTTAAATCTATGGGAAAATAGGCAGATTACTTAGAAATGGGTATCCATTTGGAAAAAATTTAATCTGTCTTCTTACCTCATACTTTATACCAGGATAAATTGTAGATGGAGTAATATTTAAATGTTAAGAAGTAAAATAAGTATTAGAACTTTAGGAAATTTAAAAAATATATTTTAAGAATGGGAATCTGTTAATTATAACTCCATAAAAGAGAAGCTCCATAAATTTAACTATAAAACCCCTAAATCTGCACTTGGCCAAAGCTACTAAGTAAAATAATAAAGACAAATGAGGAACCGG